TCTTGTACTAAACAAAAGTGCAGCCACATAATTAAAACAAGAGTAAAGAGTGAATTCAATAAAATGGGCAAAATATCCGTCTCTAATTCATTCACTGAAACCAATTTCATTATGTTGGGTAATTTATTTTTAACAGACATGTTTTTTTTATAAATATTATAAAAAATACAATATACAGGTGAACAAAATATCTAAATCGAACCGTCAAACTACTGAGCTGAACTGAATTTTTAATTAATTAGCCAAATTCGATTCAAATACAAACACTGTTTATTTGATATTTTTTTGATTTCTATTTTTTATATTTTTTCAGTTGATTAACCGAACCAAATATATTTATATTATTATATTTTGAAATTCTATGAATCTCAAGAAGATACTAAGATTTAGCAACTATTTTAATGTGCCCATCCTTTATCATCAACAAAACGGATCAAATTCCTCAATTGACCCGTTAGGTCATGTATTCAGACCCCGACATCTCCAGATTCAACTGCCATAAACGGTTCGCCTGAGGTGAATTGATTTGTCAGACTTAGTTTGCAGAATATTAGATTCGACCGGGTTTTACCACTGTGTACTTTCGAGTAGCGGCTGCGGGTTCCCATATTATAAACCCATTCATTCTTATATGCATCTCTAGATTGAATATGTTAACATATATTTAGAAATAATATATTATATTTATGGTAGTTATCTTATTTAAGAGATTCGTAGGATTCTTGTCTTATTTAAATGGTTTATATATCACTATAAATATGTACGTAATCTTATGATTGAATAGAGAATTTCAGTTTCATACTCTAACATGGTATTAGAGCCAAATTCTCTCCGGGTATTTCCATGACCCGTTATATCCCGTATATATTTTTATATTTTATTAATGTAATTGTTTCTATCCTAGATCATGGTGTTATTTTCATGTCGTCTCTGTCTCTACTACTCCACTGACAGAGTCTACTTTCGACTCTAACACCGTTGAGAGTTCTATTTTTGACTCTAATTCTATTGAGAGCGAGAGAGTCCTGTTTCCGACTCTAGTTCTGTTGTGAGCGAGCGAGTCCTGTTTCTGTCTCTAACTCTATAGAGTGAGCGAGTCCTGTTTTCGGCTCTAGTTCCGTTGTGAGCGAGTGAGTCATGTTTCCAACTCTAACGGTGTTGAGAGTTTTGCTTCTGACTCTGATCCAGTGGACGACATCAATCTTGGCGAATTCAGATTTATACGTGGAAGATCTCGGCTATATCTTTTTCGGTCACTTCTAACAAACTCAAGTTAGTTCGATCATATCTTGAGTTTGAGGAGGGGTGTTAACATATATTTAGAAACAATATATTATATTTATGGTAGTTATCTTATTTAAGAGATTCGTAGGATTCTTGTGTTATTTAAATGGTTTATATATCAATATAAATATGTACGTAATCTTATGATTGAATAGAGAATTTCAGTTTCATATTCTAATAGAATATTATAAAAGATTTGAATTTCTTTCCCTTGCAACAAATACATAACACATTCTTTCTCTCCATCGTATTCCAATTTGTGCATTACAACCAATTATGAGTTATAGGTCTTATCATGTCACACATAGTTCATTTGTTGCTATTTTGATTGTCAATATAAAGTAGATCATGGATTCAAACTATCATTCGGTTTAGTTTATATTGACAAGACCTACTATATAAATTGTAGACATCGAGAGTTTGAATCCATGACCTATTTTATATTACAATCAATTATTATAATAATATATTTATTAAAACTCGTGTTCAACTTAAATGATCACAAATTTCGCAGACTACGAAAGTACTTCTTGTAAGATTTTACTATCATTTTGAAAAGAATAGCTATTGTCAAACATTGCCAACTTATCATTTTTAGATTTTGTCTTTCTTTTGTGTGTGTTTGTATTTAAAATTCGACAAAATTCATGGTTCTTTTAAAATGACCCAATGATATTTTTTGGCCATCCAAGATCATATTAGACTTTAAATAAACTTTTTCTACTTTTTGGATTTTTTTTTTTCTTCTAAAATTATAATTTGATATATGCTGGACTTATTTTGAGCTTTACTGATTCCAACTCTGTTATCTTCTTGTTTTGTAAGTAGTTTTACTGAAAAAAAAAAAAAAAAAAAAAAAAAAAAAGATCGATCATTGATCGACAATTATTCTCTTGCTCCATTGTCTCAATTCATGCATTAATCTCCATGAAGAAAAGATTGGACTCGAGACTTACACTATTTTTCTTACATGGGCATTTTTTCTTTTTTAAATGCTTATAAAAGGAAAAGAAAATAATCAAAGTAGTAAAATAGAGTAAAATCAAAAGAAGCTGACAAGAGCAATAAATCCAACATATACATAGAGAATCTTTGTTTAGTACTTTCAAATTGAAAGGTTGAATGTTAGATATGAAAATATGCACCAATAGTATAAGAAATAAAGTTTTGTTTCGAATTATTATTATTATTATTTTTTTGTGAATATATAGAATATAAATTTATATGATATATTATGTCACTATGTGTATATATATTATAAAGGAAATAAAAATACTTTTACACGAGGAAAGGAGTATACTTTTCAGTAATATCAACAAAAAAAAGGTGTATATATATTTATATAAATGTTGGATGAATACATCCATAGCTACCGACAAACATCACACAATATTATTACAGATAATACACCTGCATTGATACGGTACAAATACAACACATGTTACAATCTCGTACATCACATACAACGATTGATTTTAGCACACTACATACTATTATATAATGCACTTATTATTATTAAAAAATAATATATATCTTTATTATATACAATATACACAACATATGTGTTGTGTATAATAAGACTGTGTGTTGTTTGTATATATTACAGATGTTTGATTTAAAAAATTAGCATAGTATAATTTTCCAAATCAACACCATAACCGTTTCCAGTATAAAATACCCAATTTTATTTTATTTTATTTTTTTATTATTATTATTTCTAAAATGATTTAAAACCCCAAATTACTTAAATATATATATATATATATATATATATATGTATGTAAATGGAATCAAACTCACCTAAAAGATACTATTAATCAAAGAGAAAAATTATATACTAACAATCGATCAAAAGGCTAAAAACCGACTACTAAAGACACTTTATATGTTTATCCTCAGAAGAATTATTAGATAAGATTAAATTGTATCCTTAAACTCCATTCTTGGAGCTAAGAATCTTAACAATAAATGGAGCAGATAATGCATTGAATAAAATATCTATCTATGGTGATGAGATCATATCATCCTAAATGAATCGAAACGGCAGCAATTGTAAATATTGCTTTAATTCTGAAATTATTAATTGCAACTCGTTTTGTTTTCAATTATATACATACATACATACATATATATTCACATGTGTAGAACAACAACTAACTCATGAATCAGAAGTTATGAAGGTAGGTTCTGAAAATTATTGCTCGAACAAATGAATTCATTAAAAACGATATATCATCGAAAGATGAACACTCCCCCAAACAAAAAGGGTCCCCAAAACTGTTGTGCTGATTGTCTAATTCCTGTAGAATATAGGAAATCGAAGATGTGGTTTGTGGGGTTCTTGATGTCGATGTTCGGGATCATCCATGGCCGGAGCTTTGAAGGGGCCTCGAGGACCGAATCATAAATTTGATACATAAATTGTCATCAAATTACATCAATTACTACAACGTGTGTGTTGTCTAAATTTTATTATGTATAGTCGGTTCATATTTTACAAATGTGTTATATCAACATGTACTTTGTGCTAAGATTTGTTGATTTATATATTTTATATGTTACTACCTCCGTCATGCTCTAGAATCTCATTTACTTTTTTGCTTGTTGATTTTTTAATATTAATTATTATATCAAAATATAGTACAAATTTAAAAAAAAATTGCAAATATACTTTCACTAGTGTCTTATAATACTAATAGAAGGACATTTATACAAATATAAAGATTTTTTAAATGTTAAGTACAATGATACGAAAGATAAATATGATCCTTAGAAGATGACAGAACGAGTATTTATATATATTATTTCAATGTTGTTAGCATGGTTTTGAATAATACTACCATTTAGTACTATTACCGATGCCAATTTGAAAACCCTAATTCTACGTAATGACTTAAGATAGAAGAAGAATCCATCTTAGTGAGCTTAAATAAAACTTCGCCCATAAATCAGTTGTTAATCTTATTAGTTGTAGAAGGATAACTAACATATATTTATACGTATTTTGTCATATTTATAATACATCATATATTATTATTATAATTCATTATATGTTATCTTATAATATATTATAATATGTATAAACACATCTTGGTCACTCATATGACATATGCTAATTCGATCAAAGCTAACTACAGATCTACAACAAAAAACTTCACATCTCAGCATTCTGACTCCTCTACTAAAATAATAGTATCATCATCAAAAAATTATTTAAACTAAAATAGATTATATATATAAAAAAAAAAAAAAAAAAACACAACATCATCATCATCATCATATATTCATGTATGTATAATATTCTCTCTCTCTATAGATATATCTAAGCTGCAATGAATGCTCCTCCAACCCTAGTTGGGAGTGAAGACATCAGCATGACCATTGTGTTTGGTACAAATTTATCCCTTACCAACCCTATGTAGATGCCAGGATCTCCAAGGGACAGACCTCTGTAGCCGATCAATCACACCAACCGACGGTGCAGATCCATCCGGTTCCAAGGTCCCGGGACCTCGCAAGAGCAATCTGAACTTCACCTTCACTGTACTGTCTCTCCATTGCTAAGGAGTATAGACATCAGGATGACTCTTTTGTTTGGTGCAAATTTATGTCTTTCTCTAGACAACCTGTTCCCCACATCTCCCCCTCTCTCTCTCCTCCCTCTCTCTCTCTCTCTCTATTTATATCTGTAATTGAAGCCAATTCCCCCACACACGAGAACAAAAACACCATTAATAATCAATTTTACCACAGTGGAGATCGAATTAGCTAAGATTCAACAATGTCTCCTTCCCCAACCCCTTCCCCGTCGTCGAGAAGATGGTGTCCGACGCCGGAGCAGCTGATGATTCTGGAGGAGCTGTACAAGAGAGGTTTGAGGACTCCCAACGCTTCTCAGATACAGAAGATCACTGCTCATCTCGCCTGCTATGGCAAGATTCAGGGAAAGAATGTGTTCTACTGGTTCCAGAATCATAAGGCTAGAGATCGACAGAAACTCAGGAAGAAACTTCACCAGCAGCATCTTCTGCAACAGCACCTCACCTCCATGAATCACCATCATCTTCTTCCTCATCCACACGCCTTTCGATTCCACTTCTCCTCTCTCTACTCTCCTCCTCTCGATCTCCATCATGCACAGGTTAATTGATTTCTCCCTGCCCCCCCCCCTCCCCCCCCCCCCCCCCCCCCCACTTTCTGATTTGATTGATTACAGATTAGGTATAGGAAAAAGGGGAATTAGGGTTTGAAGTAATGAGAAAAGGGAGGATCTGATCTGAATTAATCTTCGAGTTCATTAATTAGTTGCAGAGAGCGATCGATCACTTCTAGTTTATTGTTTCTCGTTGTGGTTCTGCAATTTTAGGGTATCTATCAATCGATTGACATACATATACATATATATATATATAACTCTATTAAATTAGGGCAGTGGAGTTGAAGAGGAAGGTAAGCAGAAGATGTGGAGGAGGAGAGACGATGACGAGGAAGACAACGATGATCATGGAAAAGATAGCTTGATGAGATCGTACGGCCATGATTCGGTGATGATTGCAGAGGTGGGGTCCACCTTCTTCCCCAGCTGCAATTCCACAGCAAATAGACCACTGGAAACCCTAGAACTATTCCCCCTCACACCCCAAAAACCCACTCCTAATTGATGAAACTACGTCGTTTCAACTCATATATGAAATTCTAAATAATATATATATATATAATTAATCATATTATTATTATTAGTTACATGTCTGCAGGGCACCTAAATATGCTGAATTGTCCAATAGTTTCAGCAAAAGTGTACTTTGCTCATAACCTCTGTCTGCTTCAGTCTTTTCTTCTCTGTTGCTATATATAAATATAAATATATATATGTATGTATCTATGTATGTATATTTTCTTCTACACAGAAGAAGAATCAGAAATTAAATCCTAGACTTATATATGAAAATTAATTTCTACTGCAGGTTTTTTATTAGATTTTGATGGATCGTATGTAAAGCTGACATTGGCAGATAATATATATATATTTGTCCTTTTATTACAGTATTAACTTTTTTTTTTTTTTTTTTGCATGAATAGAAGATTGAAGTGTGTGTGTGTGTATATTCAAGCCGACAAGTCATTGTGACCGTGCATGCATGCATGACTCATATCATGCAATTAATTAATTTAATATTATATATATATATAGAGAGAGAGAGAGAGAGAGAGAGAGGGTAGAGAGAGAGAGAGAGGGAACATTTTCCAAAACTAGAGTGTACCGAATGGGTAGTGGTAGGATAAGATACTGAATCTGAATGTGAATCTGAGTTTGAACTTTGACAAGACAGAGATCATCGAATCGATCGAGTATTGGATTTGGATTTGGATTTGGATTTGGATATAGAGAAGCCTTTTATTACAAACTGGTTGTTGTTAACTTTTTACTTTTTTGACTTTCAACTAAGTGCCAAAAATATACTGTACTACACAAAGTCACTTCTGCAACTCACCTCTCTCTAATGGAGTTTATATATATATAAACTTTTTCAATTTGTCCAAAAGTTTTAGTATGTAAATGTGTTTTTTTTTTGGTGGAAATGGTGAATTGTGAAAGTATTATATAAAGATGTTTTGGGTGTTTGTCTTAGCTTTTATTTTTATGTCTATGCTGTAAGATACTCCGTCCGATCCCCCGATCAATGTACTTCTTTGAAGTTTTGTAATAAATTTCCTCCGTCCATGTATGTACAAAGTAAACATTTACTTTTGGGATGGTGTTTAAAAAATAATAATATTTTAATTATAGTGGGCAGTTAAAAGTAGCATAATGATATTTTTGCCCTTATTATTATTTTTTTTATGTAAAAGTAATGATGTGGTGTAATGGTATTCGTGGAAAAAAGTAAGGTATTTAATGAAAGATTTATTTTGTAATTGGACGTCCTAGAAATATGTATACTTTCTACATTGACAGAGGGAGTAGTATTTTATTAGTTAGTGAAAGTGTGGAAGAGATTTTGACAATCTTCAATAGTATATTTGTAGTTTAAGTCAAAGTTAAAAATATTTTAATGTTAGTATATGATTACTTTTTTAAAAATAAGAACAAAACGAAATTGTAAAAAATGTAATATAGGTTGGAAAAGAAGAAATATATATTTTACATAATACTTTTGAGGAATCGTATATTTTGTTTTAAAAAAAATACTAATCGAAGACAAACCTTGTTTGTTCAAATTAATAAATTGTGAACTGTGCATAACTATATATGTATCCATTTAAGAACTCGATGATACATCGTGGTTACATATCGCACTCGGAATAGTAGCAATTGATATTTAATGTACTCTGTAAAGAATGACCTAATGGTGTATGGAATAATTCGTGATCGTGAAGCCATGAACTAGTTCAAACTTCTGATGCTTCTAAATTTTTTCCGTCATATATAGTTCTTTTAGTGTAATTTGTCTTGCCGACCTAATTTGTAAGCTATATTATGTTCGTCCAGGAATTTATCCAAAAAAAACTTAGAGAGTAGCAACCATAAATTTCTACGTAATTAAAAAACAAAAAATGCATATTTAGACCCATAAAAACTAGTCAAGTTTGTTTAATACTTGACTACTTGCCCAAGGCGACTTTCCCGGCCCATATGATTTGCAAATTATTGTATTCGACCCTAGAGTTTACTCCAGCATTGTCAAAATAATAAGAAAAAGAAAAAATAATACGTTTAAATATATATAGTAATTTGAAAATAATAAAAAAAGTAAAATAAAATTTGAATATCATACAAATATATATGATAGTCACATATAAAAACAAATATTTAATAGAATAGAGCTCTCTTGGTTGATTATTGTTAATAGCCAAATTAGGTTAACAAACGTATGCGTTTCCCCAACACGCCCCTTGAGATGTAAATTTGGCATACTTTCATTACATTATTAATTTATTTATCCGCAAAAGAGAGTTGAAGAATTACTTGACAATGTTGCCGTGATGACTCGAATAATTCCACCTTTTTTCCTACAAAGAAAAGTTCAACCCATTGAGATGTTAGCGTTTAACAGATTATAAGAAACTCACTCGATATTTAAGATGCCGTGATCTTAGAACTACTAACGAACATCGATAGTTATAGGTACATCGAGGAGAGGCAATTCTTCTATTTTTTCCTAGGCATATATATATATATATATATAAGGATATAAACGACGTAATGATTTGATGGATTATACCACAAATAGTATTGAATAGGGTCGAATCCATGTGAATTGAATAGACCATTTCGAATAATGTTACTTTGTAACAAAAAAGGACTCAATTTAAATTACCAATCTAGTTAGAAAGTATAGTTCAATTTAATTATTTCTTTCTTATATTATTTCAGAATTACCATTTATAATTGTTTATCCAATAAAATGGTATCTCAATTACAAAGCAAACTACTGCCTTAGCAATCAATTATATATATATATATATATATCTAATTAATAACCTAAGTAACATATTGATAATTGTTCAATGTTCTTATTCATGAGATACTCTAATATGAGAATTAATGGATTAATCGTTTTAAGTATATTACTCTTTTAACATGTAGGATGATGAACTTATTTTATTCATACAAGTAACTTTTAGACCCAATAAAATTTGGTTGAAGTGAAAAAAAAAAAAAAAAAAAAATGTTTGCAAGATTCATATAAATTTATAATCAATTTTGTATCGTAACAAAAGTAGGTAAATTTATCATTATAAACAAACTTAAAATCCTTTTCTTCCATTCAATATCAATCTCATGATTCTCATATTTCACATTTAGTTCTTGTTTAGTCTTTTGAATTATTCGTTTTATGATTACTTCGATAATTCAACAAGCTAAGCATATGCATGCTACAATCACTTGCTAATCATTTCTAGAAGTATTTTATTGTGCTATATTCGACAACATTTACCAGCAAAATTAGTATAAATTAATTGGTTTCAACATCCTATATCAATTTTTGCCCATCATTTGATCATCTCATTATTTTGGGACTTGGAGGGTTCGTCCGTCTCTTTGAACCACAAATTTTGATGTTCTTTTACATTTAATTGTAATTTTAACAGTGGATGTCTCTAATCCTCTATTCTAAAACCCTAATTTTTGTCTCTCCCGATATTCTGATTAGAACATAAATCCATCGATTGATCTCAAAAGCTCATAGATCATTTCAATTGAATTCGCATCGCACAAAAATCTAATAATTCACAACTCACTTAAACGAAGATTGCGCTCATATTTATTTTCCTTTATTTATGCATTAAAACTACGGCTCTAACTACCGGTTCTTACTTGAACTTTATCATTCAAAATTAACGTGTTAAGTTCATTTTGAAGATCATCTCCGCAACTATCCAATTCAACTCTATTTATTTAACGTAAAATAGATCTAGTCTAAAATTTCATGACTTTGACTCGATACACTTGTCAACAATTATTTATAAAGCACAAATCTAGGTTTTTTATTCTTAGAAAAATATACATGATACTCACATTTATACACTACAAAAAATAGTATATTTGTAACGGAATTTCGTTCCTAAAGTTTACGTAACTAACGTAATTCCATCTCTAATTTCGTCTCTAATATCATTAGTAACAGAAAAAGTGAATTTAGGAACAAAAAAATCTCGTTACAAAATTGATAATTTCTTGTAGTGATATTTACACCATCATTCTACATATTATCACTCGTGTTTGACTTATACGCGTATAATCACCTTAAGATCATTTCAAATCTCCAAAGAAAGAAATGTTATGGAATTCTAAATAAGATCAACGAAAAAATAATCTTGGCTTCTATCTCAAATCTTCAATGCAATTACAAAAGATCGATATATATAGATCGATATATTAATGCCAATGTTGATGCAAAGAAAAGAATTAGTTGCCCACTTAAATGAGAAATTCAATGAAGTCACCCTACTACATAAAGTTTTAATAATTAGAAGAGACCCCAAAATTAAATGTGGTTGCATTATTTGTCACATTGAAATTGCATTATCGACAATAATCATGGGCTTCTCAATAAAAATACTTGGAGTTCAATTTTTATTTTTATTTATAAAAAAAAAAAAAAAGTTAAGAAAACTTATGGTAGGAATCTTGACCTTAACTTCAAATTTTTAAAAGTCCCTAAAATTAATATTTAATTATTTAAAAGTAGCTCGGATATTTTCTAGTCTCTTTTATCAATATTTGATTAAATAAAAAAAAAAAACTTAGAAATGTTAGAGTCCCCTATGATTAAATTTTGGATTTGTCTTGACCTTCTAAGACAATGATATAGTTTTCGAATTTTTGAATATACTTCGTAGCTAGCTATATTGAAATTGGAAATTTTCAATATAATTTTTTTTCTCTTAGAATCGATTTCCGAAGCAATACTTATATAAACACTTTTGAGACTTTTCAATAAACATAGCATCAAATATCATTTTCCTCTTACAAAATATCGTATAAAATACCAAAATTTTACTATTTTTAAATTTTTATAACTCCATACTTCCCAAACTTCTATTTAAATAGATTCAAATTTTTTGGTTTTGGTAAAAAGCATTGGCACCAATGATATTTTTTTTCTACCAATTATTTTATTCGTGTGCATGATTTTTATTGTTGTGGGAATTGAATATGGTTCAATATATGTGAAGGTCTCATCGACCATATTGACGTAAATATGACATTACATACAGCCAAAAATACTATCACTAGCAAATTATATCTATGGCCTACTTATGTTTTTAATTTTTAGATGTATAAAGTAATCAGTTTGTTCACTCATCATTTCTTAGTGGAACAATTTTTCGTAGATATTATTAAAAAATATAAATATACACACATTAATATAATATATTATTTACTCATAAAAAGTCAATAATTCAACATAAAATATTATTTTTTATATTACCAGATCTTAAAAAAA